ACACACACACACACACACACACACACACACACACACACACACACACACACACACACACACAATATATAAAATGTAATGCATGTTTTATATGTCTTACATTTTCTTAAGCATACATGTGTTAAACACCACATGGATTATGAGGTCTGGTGTTCTTCTTGTCATTCAGGCTCTCTTAATGTCTCCCATTATGCCAGCTTGCAGGCCATACTCTGGGATTTGCATGCTGAAGGGCTAATTGTATGAAGTGTATCGCTCAGCTCTCCCCTCTCTGTTTCCCCTTCCTACCTAACCCACTATGTGTAGGAGGCACCAGTCAGTCAAGCAGTCAGACTCAGAGGGCAGCTGGCCTCCCAGAAGAATAGTACCATGACACTCAAACGACACTTTCACAGTCTCCTTAGAAGACAAATCAGTATTAAGCTCAAATGCAGATTTTTCATTTTATCAGCCCCACACAGCGGCTTGACTTTCCTAAACTTGCTTACGTGTGACAAATCAATTTGAGCAGCAGTGAAAAGGCACCCTTCATGGAGCTGGGAATTGATAGTTTGAATAAACTATTAATGCAAACAGGCTGACACATTTTCAGCACCTGCATTACTAAAATGATGATATCCCTCTTTTCAAGGTCTGTGGTCAGCAACTTATGAATAGGCAAGATATGACTGGCATGAAAAATTTCTTTTTCTGCTCATACACAAATTCTTGCTGAACACAAATGCTGTTTTTACATTTTAACTCGGGAAAATGTCAGGTGATTCAAGTTAGGACATTGTCCAAGTTGTTATACTTCATATGTGGCACCTAATACCTCATATGTGGTACACAGCAACTGAGTTTTGCTAATGACATCGTTACCTCTTCTTCAGTGATCGATGGCCCAAGCCAGGTGAATGTTCGTGATGTGACTGACACCACTGCGCTGGTGACCTGGTTCCAGCCCGTGGCTGAGGTGGATGGGGTCACCATCTCCTACGGACCCAGCTTGAACTCCGCCGATCGCACTTTGGTGGACCTGACCTCTGCTGACACCCAGTACCATCTGGGAAACCTCACCCCTGACACAGAGTACGAGGTGTCTCTGACAGCGCGGCGGGGAGAAGGGACCAGCATTCCCATCTACGAGTCCTTCCTTACAGGTAACACCTGTCATTATTTGGTAGACTTCAGTATTGAATACTCTGTGTGTGCCTATAACACAAAAATAATTCTTGTTCGTGAATTAGTACAGCAGTTCTTCATTTTGTCAGAAAGAATGTTTACCAAAAATAACATGGAGGGAGTTTCGTATTGTTGTAGGCATACAGTTTTAAAGAATTACAACTGCCCATTGCATTAACAATTATTATTAACAGCTTTACCAGAAAAAAACTTCCTTTGTGTTTTCCACTCTCTGACATCACCTCCTGAAAGATTTGACAATTTTTCCAAGTGAAATCCCTTGTTTTTTATGATGCATTAATTTTTTTAAATTTGCATGTGCTGCCCATTTCAAATCCCCCAGAACATTTCCTTACATCATAACCAAAGAGATCAGCAGGCTGCTGAAGCCACTCTTCCAGTTTTGGTGGTTACAGATCCTGATGCTCCTATTACCACTGGGATCACTTTGGACTTTACCTTCTACATCTGCTCCAGTTGCTTCCTCAGGCCCTGGTACTTCTTTATTTTTCCATCCTCCTTCTTCCTGATGTTGCTCCCTGCTTGGATTCCCACATTCATCACAACTGCAGTCTCCTGCCCCTTGTCAACCCACCACTATGTCTTTCTGGAATTTAAAGTCCCATGGGACCTTATCCCAGTTGCCTGAGAACAACAGGACTTGGGAAATTTTAACCGATATGTAACACAGATGTTTCTGAACACTATCCCAGCCACTTGGTTGTGCCTCTCAGTATATGTATACACTGTCCCAGCTTGTATCTTATGTCTTGTTACTATGTGCTGGAAAGTCTCTGGGGCACTTTTGTACAGCCTGCAACTTGGACTGTGTTGGCTGTGGTAGACTCCTGCCTGCATCTGGTGCCTAGAGCTTGTGCTTGCGTCATCTATGCTCGGGAGGTGGCGGATGGCCGTTCTACTCCTGAATCCATATCTGTATCTGCTCTATGTGATATGATAGCTTAGCAGGCTTAGGCCTTTGCAAAACAGCAATGGTGACAGTGTATCACCATTGGATATTCCAAACTTAATAATGCCTCTGACTTAGTCTCCAATGTTGTCTTTCACAGTTCCATTGAGTTCCCGATGAAAGTTACCACTGCACTATTAGAATTGTACAGTATACAACACTCTAATATCAATGTGATTCTTTCTTGTAGCCGATCCATCCATGGATGAATCATTTCATTGCAGAATTGAGGGAACAGTAAAACAGTAAAGGCTGATTTCAAAATGATCAGTATCTATCGTATGTTGGTCCCTGTCCAGACTTTCAAAGTTTAAAGATGACCCTACCTGCTAGATATGCAGAGAAGAGATCTTTGCACCCTGATTGTAAATACGTGAAAGATTTTTTTTTCTTTTTTTTTGGAATGCATAAATGTTAAAAAGGAACATAAAATTGTTATTCTGACACATTAGGGTTATTGCTGATGATGATTTAGACCTCAGTTAATGCATGGAATCTACTATTATCCATTATATATTACTGCTATTTTATACTATGATGATAAAATAATTATATGTGTGGCTTCTACCAGTACTGACATGAACCTAAAATTTTACAAAAAGGATTAACGGTATATGCAAGAGAACCAGGACCAAGAATGTGGAATGCACTGCTACTCCTAACAAGTCTTACAGTACATGTGGTGTACAACATATCCTTTGTCTTAATGCATGGAATAGAGAATTCTGTTCAACTAGCCTAATGGATCTTACCAGCAGCTATATAAGCTATATAATGTGCCTACTACTGTAAAACAAATACCGTACAATAAAGCTACAAATTCAACAAAAATGTCTTCAAGGCACTTTACCTTTAAATATTAGTGAGAAAGCCCCAACAATCACTTGAGGTTTTGGTGTAAAGGGAACTTCTTGTTTTTCCTTTATTCATAAATGAGAAATCCATTTACGTTTAGGTCAGGGTAAGGTTACATCTATTTAAAGTATATTTCTGCATTGTAGACCTGGACGCCCCCAGAGACCTGCAGACAGTAGAGCTGACAGACGAGAGCATCACTCTTGAGTGGAAGAACAGCCGTGCTCAGGTCGACAACTACCGCATCAAGTATGGACCTCTGTCTGGTGGAGAGCATGAAGAGCTGCTGTTTCCCCCAGGACCTAAGGACTCCACTCAGGCCAAGATCACTGGTTCTGTATCACAAACAAACATCTATCCAAATAACATACTGCTGTTCAAAAACAAATCTATATTAGCTGTATTATATTAGATGTCTATGTAGCTTATAAAGGCTTAACAAAGCACAGTTAATTGGAAAATGGTAGCATGACAGATTTTTGTGGAATTTCTGTAAATTTTTATCTGCTTATAATTAATGTGCAAAATGTTAGGAAATTATTAATAAACCATTTTATTGGTATGGATACAGAATAGTTATAGTGATTAGCTATATATAAGGCCACCTACCTTGTTCTTCCTGTTTCATTATGCCCATAAACTGTTTATGCATGACCACTGGTTTTTTAACTTGGATTTTCAAGCATTAGCATTGTTGCCCGTACCATGTTGGCATTGTGAACCAAAGGTAACAATATATGGGTGGGAAGGTTGAGTGGTAAGTTAGCAGCTAGTGCTAGCAAGCTTGGTTAGCAAACTGCATTGGTAGGGGTAGTGCATTAAGGACAGGATGTGATTCAGGTGCAGCTCAATGACTCTACTTACATGAGGTGGAAGCCAGCAGAAAGCTGGTGTTCACCAAATTATTCAGCTAATTTATATGCACTTGTTTCATTTCAGTTTAGTGTGGGATTCTCTGCTGTGTTTTACATGTAACACCTCTTTATGCACACAGAGTGGAAAAGACATGTGAACATTACGCAACTGCAGTACAAGCCTCCCAACAAGTGTATATCTAAGCCCAACATATCAGGTCTGTTTTTTAACATTCACAACTAAAGAGAGGCCAGCAGGGAAATGTGCTGTCATATGCTCAGTTAAAGCATGATTCAAAGACAAGCTTCCTACACATCAGTTAAAAAAAACACAAGGGAATTTGGAAAGGTCCTGACAGCTGAGTAGATGCAGAAAATTAAAAGGTTTATAATATACAGTGTTGGGAAGGTTACTTTTAAAATGTATTCCATTACAGAATACAGAATACATGCCCCAAAATGTATTCTGTAACGTATTCCGTTACGTTACTCAATGACAGTAACGTATTCTGAATACTTTGGATTACTTAATATATTATCATGCTTTTTACAACAACGTGAATGTACTATTGCCGTGTGATTTATTACTATTACTGAAGGTCCGCGACTCCGAAAGGGACCTCTGACTAATACGGCGGGGTCCCTGTCGGCTCGTAGCCGAAAACTAGCTTTACTTTGTTGTGTGGGTCAACTTTTCTTGCGAGAGACAGAGAGAGGCGTTGAAAGACTGCTCCAACGGAACTTATTGTTTTCGGAGGAAAACACGAACACGGTGTACAGTCGAGTCTTAATAGCTTGGCTGAAGTGGTTATTATTATATTTACATGCTTCCAGCTCCCGTTTTTCCTCGATGACAACTCCTACCTTTCCACTCCCCTTTTTCTCTCTCCCTCCTCGCGCTCACAGACCCATAACGTGTATGGCAATCCATTCTCTCTGCAACACGGACTACACTGCCCATGATGCTACATTCTTTAGAGCTATGCTTGTAGCATTCTGCCTGTTAGCTTAGCACAACAGCAACAACAACAACGAAAAGGCGCTCTCTCACCTAGGAAACACACAGTCGCAGAGAAAGAGAGAGAGCGTCGCCCTGTAACCATGGCAACCGTAGCGCTGCCGCCTGGAACAACAGAACGTAGCTGTCAAACAAAACCCAAACAGTCCTGACCCGCGACAAAATGAAACAGGAAAGTACCGCAGTGTAATCCATTTATTTCAACAAAGTAACTGTATTCTGAATACCACCTTTTTAAACGGTAACTGTAACGGAATACAGTTACTCATATTTTGTATTTTAAATACGTAACGGCGGTACATGTATTCCGTTACTCCCCAACACTGATAATATAACACAGTGATAGTGATGTATTAGTCATTATTGCAGATTTGATATAGTAGTTAATTACAGCTGAAAGGATAGATTATACAGCTGTCCTGAAAATGACTTATAAAGGATCATTTTGTTATCCATTAACAAAGTTTTGATACCCTTTGTTTGACTTAAAATTGGTTATTTTTCTCAGAAACTATCAACCTCAGTTGATAGTAAAGCTCTCAGTACCTTAGTGCTATCATATACTCAGTGGGCACTTTTTTCCATACACCTCAGCAGGAACATGCAGTTGCACATGTACACATGCCCACAACTAGCTGCTGTAGTTGAAACAGAGCATCTGAATGGGGAAGAAAGATGACTGAAGAGACTTTAAATGTGACATGATTGTTGGTGCTAGATGTGGTGATCTGAGTATTTCAAAAACAGCTGATCTGCTGGGATTTTCCCACAAAATGATCTTTAGGTGTGTGGGCCACTGAGTCATAGCCCCTCTTGGTGGAAATGCCTTGATGATGCCAGGGGTCAGAGAAAAATGACCCGCACAGTTTTGAGCTGACAAAAGTTACCCAAATAAACCACTCATCCTCTAAGTATGAAAATACAAATCCATACCACATTGTATCACTGGGTCAAGTTAGTGGTGATGTGTGGTTTCTTAGCACAATTTGGATCTCTTAGTACCAATTAAGCCATAAAATACTTGCGTGTTGTTGCTGACCAATAGTGGCTATGCCTTACGTCACAGAGCAGGTTTTCTATCGGTTAGAAGATTATTGGATTGATACCTAACTACTCCAGTCAACATGCTGAATATACATTTATTCTTCTGTTTGCATCCATCGGACTATGAGATTGTGTGCAAAGATAAAAGATAAAGACAAAAGTACTGTGAAAGTGTGTGTGACAGAGGGTCTAAGTCTTACAGTAGAAAGTGTTGTATGACTTTAGCTATTTATTCATTTATGACAATAGAGTTCCCATTTTCTCACGGTTGCTGCCAGCAAGATAACACAAATCCTCTCAAACTTGTTTCTTGAACATGACAATAAGTTCACTTCACTCAAACGGGCTCCATTGTCACCAAATGTCATTTCAATAGAGCTGGGATGTGGCGGAAAGGGAACTCCTTATCATAGATGTGCAGCCAACAACTAGGTGATGACATCATGAAAGTATTTTTCCAAAATCTCTGAAGAATCTTTCCAGCACTTTGTTAAATCGGTGCCATGAAGAATTGAGGTACTTCTGAAGGCCAGCTGTGTATAGCAAGGTGTACCTGTGAGTTTTTAATACTCACCAGGTCACAAGTGACCCATTTAGGGTTAGCAGTAGGGTTTGGGTTAAGTTCATGTCCACCCCTTTTTCTAAAAATTTCACCTATTTGAAAGAGCCAAAAAAAAAAGAAGACAGTTAAATACAAAATCTGTAACTCTGTATCAAAATCACTGTAAGTTTCATTCTAGTTTCTTAAAAGTACATGTATAACTTGGAGTACAAAACCTAATCCTTATTCCTAAACCATGCTGAAAGAGGGAAAACGAGCCATTAACAAAGCCATGACTTATAGTGATTGTTCCTTAGTTATGGAGAAGGCATCATGGACTTTTCCACAACACATTAACCCAGATGATATCTTTAATATCTTATATAACTGCTATATCAAGAGAATAAGTAAATCTTTGTTAACCTGTACTAAAGGTTTTGTCTAATCAGGGATTTTGTAGTTACTTCTTGCCAGTTGTTTCACTCAGCTGTTTTCAGGGTTTGTTTTGCTGCTTTGTGATCATCTTGGCTCATTAGTATTATGCATCCAAATGGCACAGCTGAAAGGCCCCTGTGGAAAACTAAATGATACAGTGTGAAGTGTTTATTTTCCAAATTCATGGGACAAGCGTTTGTGGGACTCTGTGTTAAATGGCTAGAGTTATTTTCAGCCTGCTCATTTTCCAAGACAGGTTCTCTTTGTTTTGTTTTGTGAAATGTTTGCTTGTCTACAAAAGACCCACTTTATTAGAAAATCACCCAGGAGGGGCTTGGCATTGAGACATTAATTGGAAAACATTGCCGCTTGTTTCGCTGGGAGACTTTGCTCAGACAAGAATAGCAGGCACGTTTTTCATCTCTCTGCATTGCTGACATTAAAAAGCTATGCTTTGAGGCGGATGAGTTTTGTTTTTATTGTTTGTTTGTTTGTTTGTTTCTACACTGTGCATTCAGCATGGTAGGATTAGAAACCATGAGAAAAAAGACCCTCAAAACAAGCTCGTAGTGTCTTTGTCTGGCCACATTCTTTGTCCTTGGGAGGCCCAGCTCATGAAAATAAAGCACTGTGTCCTTTCAGCTGACGCCCCCCTCTGCTCCACACACACCTCAGCACTTCTTTCACACACTTATTATCTGTAATTGCCTTCACGCTCGTGATTTTATTGATAATGAGTTTCCTGGGCATTAGGTGTAATTTCATGCTGTAAGGCTCTGTGTGCGATGACCTCTGTGGGAGTTAATAAAGGCGATCAGGCCCAGAGAGGGCTTAATTGTAGAGACTAAAGGGCCTCTGGAGCCTGCTATATCATAGCAAGTAGTGTTTCTGCTCCGCAACAAGGGCCCTATAGATCCATCAATGCAAATATAACACTGATGTTCTGCAGCGAGCGCAGGCTTACCATGAAATGCAATTAGGCTGCAATCTATTGTGCAATAAAGCCACAAGAGAGTGTTTTTTTGTGCATTTGCCATAGGCATTGGAGCCATTAGCTGAAACAGCTGGCCACTTGACTACAGAGGCTCCCCGTCGTTCATTTGTTGACACCTCAGTGGATGTGAACAAGCAAAACATGACATAGCTTTTTATTTCCGTATCAGTGTTTTTAATGTTACCCTGTTCTGTAGGCCTGAGACCCGGCACGGAGTATGGGATGGGTGTGACGGCAGTGAAAGATGAGAGGGAGAGTCTGCCCACGACGGCCAACGCTGTGACCGGTGAGATGCTGACACTGACACACTGCTTTTAATAATCACGTTCTATATGTAACGGGGGTTTTTTTTTTCAGAGACAAGATATCCTTTTGTGATTCCTGCTACACTGATAGAATTTATATGCTAATTCTACAAATTGATATTTAAAAAGAAACATTCATTTTTTGGACAAGGCTCAAGTTTTGGTTCGAAGGATGTAGTTTACAGTAGTGAGAGAAGTCAGGGTGGCACCCACCACTCCTCAATATTCATATGAATGTTTTTGGCTTTATTCCCTCACGGCTGAATCGTCTGCTTTATTGTAAAATCTGCCATATCGTTATGAGACAGTCACCTTTTCTTATGCATGCTAATGTAGACAGGAGGTGCGTCCATTTTTAAAGTCTTTAGAATTGCTGAATTTTCAACAGATTTTTCAAATTGATTGACATTCATTTGGTATTTATTTGATCCTATAGACAGAATATTAGAACAGGTTTTAAAGCCAGATGGCCCACTGGGCCTAAGTTGGTCTATAGCTGTTACATTTACTAATATATCTTATTAGCACTAATCGAGAGGTTAAATCATTTGTCTTCCTAGAATTTTGTGGCCTCATGCTGGAATATCTATAAATTTATTTTTTTCTGAATGCGACAGTTAGCAGTTAATGTTATAATGGATAGATAGTCTTACAACTTTTCTGATGGGTATCCTATAGTATAACAATAGTTTGGAGACTAAATAATCAGTGTTTCTTGACTACAATTGTGCACCAAGCTTTATTCCTTCAGAATCTATTACCTCTCGATAATTCTGCCCTCTTGTTTCACTGCTCTGATCAGTTCTTTCAAATCAGATCTAACCACGATAACATATTGCTTTGGCATGCCATCAAATTATGTTTTATTAACTAGTATAGTAGTGGACGTCAGTAAGCATCAGTAAGGCAGCAAAACAAATCTAAACAGGAAAATGCAACTGTTGAAAAAAGGTCTTCAGTGTAATACCTCCCCTCTTTCACACACCATCAGCCCTCGATGCTCCCAAAGACCTGACTGTAACAGAGATGACCGAAACTACTATGATGCTGGAGTGGAGGCGTCCCTTTGCCAAACTGGACTCCTACAGGCTGGTTTACATTTCCGCTGATGGTCACAGGGCTGAAGAAGTTATCCCGGGCAGCTCTGAAACTCACACCCTGAGGGGCCTGACACCCGGTATGCTGTATACCATCAACATCAGTGCAGAGAGGGGCCGCAGAAGCAGCGTACCTGCCACCATCTCAGCACCCACAGGTCAGCACGGCTGAACACATGTGAAAAGAGAAGTTTCTAGTGAAGCAGGAGTGGTTTGTTTGACATTATAGGCTTTCTGAATTGTCTGGCAGAAAAAAAAGTAGAAAGAAAAGAGAAAAGAAAAAAGCGTCGAGAGAGGAAGCCGAGCAATCTTGATAGCTTTTCTGCTGGCATTTCTGCCAATGAGATAACATTAAACATTTTCAGATACCCAGATAAGAAATGATATGTAACCTATATTAGCATTGCCACCATCCACTCCACATTTATTATACTCTGTCTCTAAACTGTTAGCCATGGCACTTGTGAACCCTGCGGTTAGTTTTGGCCAAAGCACTTCCACAACATTGCTTATAATGTAATACCGCACAAAAATAGCTTAAAATCTGAGCAGGTAAAAACAAAATGAACCTGCATACCACTAGAACTAAGTCAGCTCTTAGCTTAAGCTGAGACTTGGTCTGCATAATTCTATTGCCTGGTTTCAGCTGGCGATGCGTGACAGACTCCCTGAAGTTCTTATTGACCAGAGGTTTATTTACATTTCATTATTCGTTACAGCAGCCACACTGACGCAATGAATTGAACCCATTGTTTGCTTCTCAGTTCAGTGTTTTAAACTCCTCATTCCCCATTGATAGACTGTGGGTTTATTTTTTCTATTTTCCAAGTTTTCCTTGGATGAAAAGGCAAATAAGGTGATGGTGGCAAATTTTTCATGCTGTGGTCTGAGAGCCTCCAAGGCAAATATTTCACTGTTAAACCTTCTGGTTATGTAACAAGTGCTCATTAAATGCATAGTTACAGGCAAAAATTGATAACCTTTGAGGGAAAAGGTGAGCCATTGGAATAAATATTTTTTGATACGTTATTGGCTGCTGCACCATGCTCTTTATGTTCACTTGTTTGTGTGGTCATGAATAGTACATATGAGTGAACCCCGGAGTATGTGCGTTGTGTATTGGTAGGTTCATGAGGCTTGGGGTGGGGCTGGGGGGTGGTTGTATGGATATGTGTGCGCCATGCACAATGTTCATTCATGTGATAATTGTTGGCGTGAGCCCCGCTCCCCTCTGGGTTTGTGCGATTTGACCACGATGAACTGTGGGTCTGTCAGATAAAAGGCCACATGCTGAGACTCCTGTTAAAACATTGTCTCTGAAATCAGCAGCCCTCTAATCCACAGCCTGGTTGATACTTTAGCCTTTATCGTATCCAAACACGTAGTGCAAACACAGATCATGCTCTTGTTGCAGGAGGGGCTCAAGGAAAGAGGAGGGGTGGAGTGAGGAGTCTGGGAACCTTACAGTCATCAAAAAGTATCAAGAGTTTGATGTCAAGTCTTTCAGATAAGTGTGCAGGGAAATAGTGGCAAACCAAAATGCACCTTTCAAAATCCAAATAATTTTAGAAGCAGGATATAAAATTTAGATACTATGCAATAAAAAAAAACAAAAATAGGGAAATCAGGTGCCACAGGCAAGGATTATCATAATTTAAACTAATCAGCTGACTGAGTTTGGATCACAATATCTGACTTCCGTGAATATGCGCATATTTGCACAAAGGAAAACTAAACCCACAGAGTTACCCTATAATCAGCTGTCCTGAAAGCCTTTTACAAAGTGTTGACATATTTGGATTTTGGCAGTTGCTGCAAATTCTGCCAAGAAGTCAGTTTATATGTGACTGTTTCCATCAAATTTGATTCATGGTGCATTAACAACCTAACATAATAGAACAGAAAGAGAAAGCAAAACATTGTGAATAAAGCAAAATCAATGTCCTGCATGCATTGACATGATCTGTAAGGTCTGGACACTGCCTGGTGGAGAAGTTCAACTATCATTCTTTAAATTAACACACTGAGGATGAATGAGTATCAAATGGAAGATATCCATATAAGAAGGTGATATCTTAGGGGACCATTTGATAATGTCATTGCACGCATCTTCAACCGCATGAGCAGATTTTAAGGGTTCTCTCAAATTCAAGAGAAAAAAAAGACATTCCCATCACCTCTATAGTAGACTTTAACTAGTCCATTAAGATTTAATACATAGAGTAAAACTGAATTTTGTTTGAAGAGCAGAAGTGCTATGTGTGAACAGCATCTCTGTAGGACTTGCTGTGGCCATTGCTACATTCTTATGTAGGGAAGAAACATAAAATGCAAAACAAGACAAACAAGCTTAAAAGAGATTTTTGTAAAGGCTTGTTTTATATGTTGAAAATTGAAATTTCATTCATCTCAATTTAAAGCAGCACACACACTAAAATCTTAGAGTCACGCTTTGCTAAACCAAACATTGAAATCGCGGCTAGATCTCACTGAGTTAATGGGAAAGTTTTTTTCCCCTTCTGTTTGTTTTAAGTTAAATAGTATTTTTTGCCCTGTTAAAGACAAAGCGTACGTTTAAGTTTAGAAGCTAGCTAAAAATAAATTTATTTTTAGCTAACTATAGTAAATATAGTATATAGTAAATATAGTAAATATATAGTTAGTTAGGCTATAAGATTAGAGCCTGGGCGAAGAGAAATATCGGTGAGCCTGGGCTGAATCACTGAACAGGACCTTTATATGCTACTTGCCTGGCATTTAAAGGTTTGGGCCCTATGAAGAGTTAAACGTGTGTTTGGTGAGTATCTGGTGTTAGCTTTTGTGAAACCATGGTGTCTCCATCTAAATACAGACTTTTGGTCCTTTTATCAACACCAAGGAATCCATGTGCCAGACACAGCTAAACTAATCGACTAACTGCTATGACATTTTAACACATTAACTAACATTAAGACAGCCATGAAATTTATAAATGATGGATGCAGCCACAGTGATGTTACCTGTTGGTTTGTAAGGTCCTGTTTTTGAAGATTTGGCCTGACAGTTTTGGCCTTTGACATCTTAGCTTTTTTTTTTTTAAACCTGACATCACAAGCAAGGGACAGATCTGACTGGGACTTTCCATGGACAGTGCATGCAGCACACCTAGAAAATCATATGGCAGGTGAGGCCTAAAGAAAACCCTGCCTTCAAGTTTCTTCTGGTTTGTACCATAATTGACAAAATAGGCATCATGTTGTATTTAATAGTTGTTAGGTAAGGGGCTGGATTTTAGTACCTTGCATTTTATTATTAGACCTTGAAGGTATGTCCATCTTTTATATAAAGTCCATGGTGAGGGCCAGTTAAGCTTTTTTCTTTCTTTTTAACCTCAGATGAATTGTGACCAAGTGAAAAGCTAATGTTCACTTCTTGGTTTTCCTACATTAACTCCTCTGATTTCACATTCAAAAGCAATACACAAGCATTTCTGTAATGGTTTATATAGCACCGCAATGCAACCGAAGCTTATGTGGTCATAGGGATATTTCCAAGGGTTTTACTGATTTACAGTGTATGGTTTTGTTTTTCTATATATTTATCATCTATTATTTAACAGAGTCAACAAATTCCAAAATTATATCTACTTACAATTATAGATGTGCGGCCCTATGCTTCACCAGGAGTCTACAGGAAAATTGATTGACAATTGATGTATGTTAGAAATCACTTAAATCACTCTCTGCTTTTCATTGCTCAATCCAGTATCACAACAAAATATGTACATATATATATGTCCATTTCATGCTTTAGAGAGGCAAAGCGTGAAATGGACATGGTGGACCAGCATGTCGATTACATGCTTTGATGTAATTCATATGATTGCTATATAAGGAAAATTAAAGAAAAGATTAGGGTATTTCCAAAAAACAAAAGACTCAATCTCTCTTTATACTGTAGGCACAGAAAATGGATTTCTGTATTTTCCTTGTCAGTCTGAGCTTTCGGTAATCAATGATCAGCTGATTCCAACCAACCCCCCACCTTACATTCCTATTGTCTACCATCCCATTTACTCTCTGCTGTGCCGCACAGTGAAAGAGGATAATGGGAGCCTTGATGTTTACCTGAGCCATCTATCTCCATCTCTTTCTAATCTACTCTGTGAATGCTTGCACACACAATGGACTACAATTACAGGCTGTTCATGGCTCTGCATGGCCTCCCCGTAGGTTTGAAGTGGACAGCGTACTTCTGCCGCACTGGCCGGGCTCCGCTGCACCTTCAAATGTTAATGGCTCATTCACAGCCATTAATGCGCACAAGCTGCATCAGCATATCTGCCCACTGCTCTCTATCTTTATGTCTTCCACTGATATGGTAATATAGAGTAGATGGCTATAGGTAGACAATGATAATGGGGCTATTTGTTCTCTCTGGTCTTTTGTAGTGGAAAAATGAGAATATTTCCATTCTGGACCTTTTCTCCTTTCTCCTGACGGTGAAATGAAATTACTGAGTGCTGGAGAATTGTCTTTCCCCCTACATGTGATTAAATAGTTCTTTGTTGGTTGTTATATGTTTCACATCTACATTGTTGTGAGTTTTTGTCAACAGAAAATGTTCCAAAAGAACCTAAATAAATTTCAAAATGTGTGTCCATCGTGTGATCAAAAACTTCCAGAAATTGGCATACCCACAAAAAAATTTACAGATCTCTATTTATTTGATAGGAATAATTCATCTTAAGGAGTACAAAGTGTGACACTGGTAATTTGCACAAAGAGGTTGATTTCCAACTCGTGTCCCTTGTTGGGTTTTTCACATCCACCATACACAAATAAAATATTCTAATATTCAACCACATAAAACTAAAATACAATATAGATACATAATGACAACGAATTACAATTTATTCACATAATCAGATACATTCACGAAAGGAGATACATTCCTAAAAATAATCTTCACTTCAATAATCTTCATTAAAAAATATAGTCTAATTAATTCAAATGACCTCAGCTCTGATTATTATTATTTTGGGGGGCCAGTTTGCACTAGCTCTCAATTGCATACATATTTTCTAAATACGAGTATTTGAAACATTAATAAATGAAATTACAAGCAGCATATTGGTACATCCTAGTAGCATATCACTGACTGAAGGAAATCAAGGTTAGATCGCATGGTCATACAGTAAGTACAGAGAAACTGTGTGACTTCCAGTGAGAGATTTAAAAAAAACAGCTGTTCTTTATTTTCATAGCACTATTCCTCGAATGTTTTGATCAGCACTTGTATGTTTGTGTTTTAAGGTTTGACCAATATATGAAGCCAGATGTATTTTCTATCATCTTAACATCCACCAGGTTGGCAGTGATCATTCTTTATGGGATTATCTAGCCCTTGAAAAGCAAGCTTAACCCTACCCCTAAAGAGTTCACCGGTGACCTCGTGGATATTAAGCAGTTAGAAGTGTGCAAATGAGTTGACCATCGGCTTTGCCATATGAATTGGTCTAACCTTTTGTTGATGTGTTTGTCATCACCCAGAGGAGGAGAAGCCCGTGGTGACCAACGTTACAATCAGCGATGTAACGTGGGACAGCTTCCTCTTGTCCTGGTTTGCCGAGGATGGGGCTTTTGAGTCTTTTCTGATCACGGTAACTGATGCAGAGACGGACGCTGAGTGGCAAAATCACACTGTGCCCGCTGATGCTCGCAGCCTCGCCATCACCGGCCTCTACCCCACCACCTGGTACAGAGCTATTGTATACGGGGTGTACAGGGGAGCCCCATTAGACCCTGTCATTGCAGAAACCATCACAGGTATCAATGCAGTCAATTCTGGGGCCTAGCATTTTCCTCTGATTTCTTCTTTTTCTAATTGACACAGTCCTGTAATCTGTCCTTCTCTCTGTGAATTTTCTAAATTACTCTGTTCAGCACTGCCTTGAAGTGTGGCAATCACTAATAGGTGTTATACAAACACTTGTTCTTGTGCATTTTTTTTTATACCTTTGGACCTCTTTCTTGATATGCTCAAAAATGTATCAGATTGCAAAGAATTTATTTTTATAAATCTTTGAGAATGAAACTTTTAACTTAGGGATGAAAACAGCTTGTTTTGTTCATGCCCATGGGATTTCTGCAAAGCAACAAGTCGGGTCTTATTTTCTTGGTTAGCTTCAGGTTTGGAAATACATTTTATTTTTTAAAAAGTATACATAAAGGCAATTTGTCGGCCCTTGCAGTGGAGATTACTCTTTGCAGGGTAAACAAAATCTCTGCGCCTTCCAGACACTGTGAACAATCCAAATCCCCAAGCAACACTCCTTCATCAGCCATCCATCACACGCGTATCCCTGCCTTTGATGCAGGGATCGTGAAATGGGCTAACACTACAGCGCCCACACAAAACTCATTCAATCTATATTAGTCCAGCCGCGGAGCTGCGTTTGATCCACTTGTCAGTCTGCCTGTTGGTATGAGTCCAGCCTGAAACAGCACCTGGTCTGGTATGTGAACAGGGAGAAACACGTCAAATGAGAAGGTCAAGGTGCACTGGCTTCCCCTTCCCCAACACCAGTCATTATCAGTGATTAGCATGCTGTAAATCCCAGTATGTCTAATAAGAGGTCTTTAAACATCGAAAGCATATACTACCAAGAATGTTGGAGAATGTAGTTTTACATTAAATACGGGATACAAAAAATATGACACAATTCTTTACAGGACCATAACAACTGAAATCTGAAAGACCCTTTAGACTTTGACTATCTTAAGCAGGTCTATGGTAGAATTAGGACTAGGATACTGAAAACAGTGGTACTAATGAGATATGGTGTGGAGTCGCTTCTGTTCTGGGGCATAAATGGTAGATAGAGTCAGTCAAAAAAATGTTTTATTTTCTGAGAGTATACTAATTCACGATTATAAAAAACAGTGCTTTTGGTATTCATTTTTCTCAGATTAAAAAAATTAAGACCAGTCTAGTCATAAAGAAAATTTGTGGAAAAAGGCTAGAGAGAGAGAGAGAGAGAGAGAGAGAGAGAGCAGTAATCACAAGCAGGTGAACTGACACACTAATGAGGGTGGGGAAGCCGGGAAGTAAAAACCGTGAAATGCATGTGCTCTAATATAAAACGGGATGGAATGAAAGAAAGATCAAGTGTAAGTGCACAATGACAGCACTGTCAATATTCAAAAGCACTGAGGTAAACAGGTAACAGAAACACAGATCATTATAAACATTTTGTGAAACACATGAAATATTGCGCAGGCTTAAAAGTCAAAAAATAAGTAGCTGAGTATCCAACAGTATCATTCAGCATTTGACTGATGAGGATCATTCATGTGGAAGAAAGATGGTAGGACTGATGGAGAGAGGAAAAAACCCTCAGGCTCTTTTGTCACTTTGTGTGAGGCCTCTCTTCTGTATGCATCCCCAGTTCCCTCAAGCCTGGACTGCACTTCATTCTCATGCTGCCGTTGCCCCTGGGCTCTGGTGCTGGGGTGCCAGGGGCTTCTGGGGCCACGCAGAATATGGCATGCGCTCAACACGGCCCATTGTCTGCATGCTAATGGTGTGGCAAAACCATCTTAACATTTTTCATTAGCATCACTTAATCCATAAAACATTCCGACGTGTGAATACAAGCGCTGACTAATTATGTTATGCACGGTGGCCGTCGTCGGTCTGCTGAAGAAGGACACTGCAGGGAAAATAAAGTTGTCGCTGAGGATGGAGTGAGGAAACTTTGATTAACAGAGAGGGTGTTTTATACAATGAATGACTGGAACCACTGAGAGCACCCGGAGAAAGCTCAGTTCAGAATCGTATCCGTACAAGCTATTATCAGGCGAGACTGGGACCAGCCCTGGGGTTCAGCTTGCAGACCCCCTTAGCAGGTTAGCTGGCGCCGGTGTGTACCTCATCCACTAACAGGCTCCTTTTTGTTCCCTCAGGTCTTGAGAGGGGGTGGAAGTGTAGAGAAGGTGGAGGCGGTTGTGAGAGGGGGAAATCAGTAGCAAGCTAACACATGTTAGCTGATGGATGTAGCTCTCTTCTCTCTTCCGCTGACCAGCTGAAGCCGGCTGGCGGCTAATGAAGAGTGACAGCTCCCTGGGATTTGTGTGCTCTGCTTCTCATTTCCACCGCTTTTTCTCACAACAAATGCCATGGTTTTTCCCTCACATTAAAAAAAGGGGGTTTCAGGCTAGTTCAATGACCCCTGAGACCCTCACATTTGGTGTTGTGTTTTAATGAGTAGTGGCGCTGGGCTTCACTGAGCCTTTCTTGAGCCCACTTATATCTACTTCTATCCAGGCTGCTTTAAAAGCTCTGTCCAGTCCATGTATCCATCTGCATGGCTACCGGAAGTTTCTCTGACTAATTAGCAGCAGCGAACACATCCTCAGGAGAAACAGAGCTTTTTCTCCCACAGCTGTAGACTCCTGCTGTGTCTCAGCCTTTCTTCCTATCACTGTCATTATTAGAAGCTGCTAATGACTGCTTGACTTGGCTTTTACAAGTTCACATTCACACAACCCCATCTGTATGCACATCTGCAACTCAATCTACTTTCAGGATTTCACTGCTATTTTGAGTTATTTCCTTTGCTTCGAAATTCATAGTATTGGAAACATAAATCTGAAATGGGACCAAAATTGTTGCTTTTACTAGGCTATAGAGATTTTTATTTTTGCTGTAAAGTTGGACTTTTCAACATTTATTGAGATCATTTTAAATTTTGACAGCAAATTTTGATTTGGTTTTCGCCATCTGAATTCTTTTAGTTTTAGTCAGCTAAATATCATAGGATTTCCTTACATCAAATGTAAAATGTGCCCTTATGTTTAATTTTCTGTTCCTCCCAAGTGTTGATATTTTGTCACATTTTCATGAGGAACAGGAACTTGTACCCTTTCCAGAAAAATTGAAAAGTTGTACCAGTGTGCAGAGAAGGATTATAGAGGTACATCGAACATTACTGTACAAGGAGATTACTTCAGATTATATCATTCGTGGCTTTCTACACAATTTATTTTGTTCTGATTGGATCTCATCTCTCTATGATGAAAATTACACTGATTAAGATTTACTTCATTTTGGAGTTAGCCTCAATTCCGCATCTGAGGAAATGCAGTATTTTAAAGGCCATAAAAGCTATATGTAATCTATACTTTTCTCAGACTTGATAAATTATTCCTGATCACAGTTTTGACTCGGTTTTTTCTTGATTTTATTAATACTGCCATTAAATGTAACAGATCAGTCACATAAGCCCTAAAGACTCCACTTTGAATTTTGTTTCTTTCATGTTGTTGTACTAAAACTCTTCTCTTTCCACTCTGCAAAGTCAACATGTTATACGCCTTTTTTGTTTGCCATGTTCTTCAAATCTTAAAGTACTCCACAGAGAAGCCAAACTGACTATCACCCCTGTCACTCAGAGTACGAACCGGAGGTGCAGTCTCTCCTAGTCTCCGACGTCACCACAGACAGCTTTCAGCTGTCCTGGATGGCCGAAGAGGACTCCTTTGACACCTTTGTCATAATGGTCAGCCAGGCCAAAGGCTTAGACCAACCAAGAGAGCTGGTGCTAGGTGGTGAGGAGAGAAGTGCGGTGATGACAGATCTCAATGAGGATACCGAGTACAAAGCTGAAATCTTTGGCCTCATTTTGGGAAGACACTCCAAGTCTCTCTTGGAGGTGTTAAAAACAGGTACACAGTGAAAAGATGGAACGAGAGGCCCAAGCTGTGAACTGGAACTCTGGATACGTCTTGTCCGCGTAGTCAATGTGGAATGGTGTCATATCCTGTCTTTGGTGGTAACAGCATGAGTAGTAGCTGTGCTCTAACTTTCGTCCTTTATAAAGTACATCTTTTTGTCTACTAACCTGGTACCAAAGCATTACAGTATTTTTCCAACAGACATTTGGGTTCTTTTATGTCTGACAGTACTCCTGAGATGCAGATGAACAACCAGGTACATTAGGCAGTGCTGTTTTCAAGGCTGATGCTGGATAAGAATCTGACTTTCACGTGGGTTTTACTGAGATCAGCCCAATATTAAAAGTACTTGGTATGGTTGAGATGAAGCAGTAACACTTAGGATGCATTAAATTATAGTATTATTGTAGTTTTAACCTCATGGCATCCACCAGTACACCAGTTAACCACTAAGGATAGGGTTAGATTTGCTTCACATTTGAGTCACAAGCTTAAAAAGCAAGTCAAAAATCCAAAATCACTTCTATATGCCATATAGATGAGACATTCGTGTAGAGGTGTAGATTTGAACCTAATCCTAACCCTACTCTGAATGTTAAGAGGGTAAAGGAGATTTCACTATTCCCAAAGTGGTATTAAGACCTGTTAGTAAATGATCCGGTATAAAGAAGTGTGCATGTGTGCACATAAGTACATCAATCTGAAGTATCAGAGAAGGCCATTCAAACTGCATATTTTCAGTCGAGCCCCTCTCAGGACACGTACTTAGCGCTTTACTCTTTTTTCGTTGTGTTGATGTGGTCTTTTATTAATTCTTGTCTGAATGCCCCTGCCAAAGGTTGTCTTTGATATCTTGACTTCATGTGCCAGTGTCTCTATGTAAAGAAGGTGGTGGTTGTCCATGTCATATAAAACTGCTGCCTGTGTCTTCCACCATCCCCCCTGAGGTAAAGGATTTAGTCTTGGGTTGCGTGGCGCATGCTTCACTTTTGTGTTACCATGAAATGCGAGCAAGTTAATCTCTTCAGGTCTGTCACGCAAGATACCGCAGCTCACTTTTAACTGGGAACAGTTCTGTCTGTGTGAGCCCGGGCCTCCGCAGGCCCCCTTTGTCTCTGGACTTCACTCTCTTTTATGCTTTCCTGCTTTCGCTCTGCTCTAAAATGAGTGCCTTTCAGTGGTGGATCTGCCCTGCTACAGTGTCTGTGTGTTTTTTCATGTCTGTTTCTTCACTCTGTTGGAGGAAATCCTCACTAGAACATGTCAAAACTGTTCACTGATTGATATTTGCTTCTATACAGTGCTTTCTTAGAATTCTAAAAAAGGCAGTACACATACTGACTGATGCTTCTGTTTTTGTCTTTGTCCCCATCTGCTGTTTCTGTCTTCCTTTTGCCAGACCTGGGTTCACCCAAGGGCATTCGCTTCTCCGATGTCACTGACACGTCTGCAACTGTTCACTGGGTGACCCCAAGAGCTCGAGTGGACAGCTACCGGGTCACTTACGTACCTGTCTATGGAGGTCAGTATTTTTATGAGTGCAGTGGGACAGGGAACATTTAGACATGCTGTTCTTAAGATCCTCCAAAAGTCGCACACAGGAGATCTCTAACCATCAACTGCATCCATGATTACATTAGGAAAAACAGATTTTAATATCTGGCACAGCAGTATGAAACAAGCCTAGATTTGGATGACTATAACCAGCATGGACATTCTCACTGCTTTTAAATTGCTCGTCCATTCATCAGTTTATGTTGTAACTCTTTTGTCCAGACATAGACAGATGCTGCCCTCTGTTGGCTACTGATAAGTGTGTCTACTGAAAATCAAGAAAATTGACCATCCTATCACAATAGAGTCCTGTATATTTTGTGACAAAGAATAAATTATTAACAAATTAGTTACATCACGATGCATGTACAATTCAAAACTGAATAAGTGATCAAGATTCAAATATTTTCAGCACCTAGAAAAATTCCCACAAAAAACTGTATCTGTAAAAAAGGGCTTTTGTTCATCACTAACTTTAACAAGGTAGAATAAATAGTAGGAAAATACAAAGACATATAGACATATAGGCAAGGTTTAATAAAAATAAAATCAAATATAAAATCCATCCACCTACTAGTATTTTATCTGCTTAACTTAATGTCAGTTCAATTCAGTTTTATTTATACAGCACCAAATCACAAGGCACTTTATATTGTAAGATAGACCCTACAATATTACATACAGAGAAAAACCCAATAATCACATGCAATATAGAGACAGAGCTGCTAAATGACTTGGAAAAGTAACACATTAACTGATGGCCAACTGCATGTGTATGGATTATGGGTATGACAGAAGTGGTTAAATCATTCATCAGTGGGGAAATCCGCATGACTAAGAACAAGAAGGGATGAATGAAGATTCTTCTCCGATGAAAAACAAGTACTTCACTACTTCAGCTAAGTGTTTGTTCATTCATTGAAAATGATGTAAGTTATCAAAATTCCCAGGTAACGCCAAGACACTGTCAGTGGATGGTTCTTCATCTCAGATTGTGCTGCCTAACCTGACACCCGGAGTCACTTACAAGGTCACTGTGATTGCTATCAAGGGGCAGAGGGAGAGTGAACCTGGATCTGACAGCGTCACCACAGGTAAAATACACACACACACACACACACACACACACACACACACACACACACACACACACATTCGTAATGCGAAGAACAGATTTGTTGGCCACAACAGTATTAGACACTATATTATAACTATGATATGATGTTGTAGTGTGGCTTTGTACCTTACAAATTTGCAGTGTTAAGACAAAGAGAGACAGTTAAAAACTCTGGCTAGTTAAGGTTAATTTTAGCCTAAGCCAAAGCTACGCTAATTAAGCCACTGTTTGCTTTAAAGAAACTATATGTAGATTCTTGTGTGTAAAAGGTTCAAGCCTTCTGAAATTATCCAAAGCATTCAATGGAATGTGAAGAAACAATTGTGATGATCCTATGTCTAAACCATGTATTGTGTTGAAGCGATAGCAAGTAAAAAATAACTTAGGTGTAACTGTACCTTTGTGTAATACCACCAATGCTAGTGTAGTACCACAACAACTGGCAAGCTATTAAGAGCACATTATGTGATCAGATACATGTATGTCATTACCTATAGTGCTATTAAAAGCTATTAAATAGGAGCACACATCCAGAAACATCTCAACACATGCAGTGACAAAAGCTGTCTCCTGGAGTTTTACTCTCATTTTGCTAAGAGCGAGTACAAGTTTCCTATAATTAATCTGTCCAGTTGGTCAGACTCATCCAAAATATATATATTTTTTCTGTTTCATAAAACACTTAAAATATAATGGAGAGAGAATGTAATTAACAGGATACAAAGTCCTCTAATTAGGACTTTGTATCATGATGAACTAGAATACTAACAAACTTAGTTAACAAATGAGTTGCTTTTGGCTACTATTACACTAATGTATATATCTAACATATATCTATATATCTACAATCTACTAAGATTGTAGATATATCAGAATCAGAAGACTTTATTTATCCCCAAGGGGCAATTAACAAACAAACAACAGAGCAGCATAACGTTGAAGATAAGGACAATAAGAACAGGCAATAAGAGTGAAATAATAAATACACACAGAATATAAAGTATATACAGTTTTAAAATTACACAGTTTTAAAATTAAAGTGACTGAAAGGTGAATAAATAACTAATAATATATGTTAGTGTAGTTTTCTCTAACTGGTTTTGTTTGCCAATTTAGTCAGCTCACACTCTTAATTTAGATGGTATGTGTGTGACTGTGTGTTACAGCTCTGGATAAACCACGTGGTCTGAACGCAGTCAACATCACGGACAGTGAGGCTCTGCTGCTCTGGCAGCCCGCCATCGCTACAGTGGACGGCTATGTCATCACCTATAGTGCAGATTTAGGTAAGTACTTATGTGTGTACAACTTAGCACAGACAAGAACAAAAGAAATGTTCAAACAAAAGACAGTTCAAATTTTCATACTAAAGCAACATGATCAATGTACCAATACTGAGTTGGCATATTAAAAAAGTAACATGTGACACATAAGTCATAAGAAAGTTTGCTGCCTTATTATTATTTCTAGTAATGACTTTATAAAAAGAAACCAGTTTAAAGATGTTGTATGCAAGTATTCTATTTCTGTAACGCTCATAATTATAAGCATGAATATTTTGAGATTTACTGTGAAGGTTTGGTTCTTGTGTCTTGGTTCAGACAGATATCATTAAAGTACATTTAAAGAGTGTACATAACAACTTTAAGTGAACTAAAGTGAATTCAGTGGAGTATTTATTCATCATGATGTTAATGTTCAAGTTGACGGATAAAGGCTGAATACTTCCTCTGCTGGTGTTTGTCCTTCAAGTTTGATTTGGTTTCTGTACTTTGTGTTTCTCAGTGGCTCCAGTCATGGAACGTGTGTCAGGAAACGTGGTGGAGTTTGAGATGAACTCTCTGGCACCAGCCACACACTACACTGTGAAGGTCTATGCTGTGCGGGACTTGGCCAAGAGTGCAGCCACTACAACAGAGTTTATCACAGGTGTTGTTTCCCTGGTGTTTTAATGATTAGTTAAACTAATACAAATGGGAAAAGCTAGTAGAAATCAAGCAGTCTGTCAGATTTCTTCATTATAACTGTAACTGTATGTATGTCAAAATCTGAGAGAGCAACATCATAAGAACCGACTAGTGCTGCTGTGCTCTAGCTTGCAGGCACTACAAAGAAGGCTTCATGACTGTTGTGAAGTTATGTAGAAATCTGTAAACAAATGTAAACAAAGTTTGGATTCCTTCAGATGTGGATGCCCCCCAGGACTTGGCAGCCAGTAACATCCAGACAGAGAACGCCATGCTGACGTGGAAGCCTCCTCGTGCTGACATCACCGGCTACATGCTCAGCTTTGAATCTGCAGACCGCACCATCCGGGTCAGTACACAACTTATACTGCTCTCCGAAGGCCAATGCCGATCCAACTGTATGTTGAGTATGTGGAACATGTTCAGGAATGTTTGTTTCATCCTTCAGGAGGTGGTGCTGAGTCCGACTGCAGTGTCATACAACATGGCTCAGCTCAAAGCATCCACCGAATATACAGTCAGCCTGCAGGCCCTCGCTGGACCAAAGAGAAGCAGAGTGATCACTACTATCTTCACCACCAGTGAGTAGACTCCTGCACACACTAGAAAGGTTTCAAGTCACTGTGATGTCTATTTATAGTGTTATCAGTAATGCAAGGACAAATAGAATATATAGCCTTTTTACATTCAGTTTTAGAGATACTGAAGAGATGCTGCTAAATCAGGGCTGTCAATTATATGGCCTGTGTTTAAAAAAAAATTCCAGGAAAGGGTCAAACATGGTCCAAAGGATGACTTAAAGGAATTACAATCTGTTTCTGAACTCTTCATTTCACACAGCCAGAGGTCATCATCTTCATCAGTTTTACAGATTTCCTACTGACAGACTATTTAAACCGTGTGGTCACATGGTTTAAATATAAGCCATTGAGCAATGCTAACCTGTCTGAAGTTACAGCAGCAGTGTTTGTAATGACATCGACTGGCTCAGTGTGAAAACCCAAACGCAATTTTTCAGTTCTGTAATCTGATGGTTGATTAAATGTGAATGTTTTCACAATTTGTATGATTTCCACACATTATTCAGGAAACAATAAAAAAAATAAGATGGTTAGTGTTACACTGTAAAAAAAAAATTCCAAAAAACCCCAGTAATATTCCAGCAGCTGGGGCGCCAAAATAATACCATAAAATAACAGAAAATAACTTTCTCATAAAAATACGGTTATTTTCATTCATGACAATACAGTTTGTTCCCCTAATTTTACATGGGATTTTGCCTTTTTCAAGTGCTTTTAAACATTAAATTAGGAACATTTTAGTGTGATTAAACAATGAAATTACCTATAAACAAGGTCAATGAATGTGGCAATATGAATAATAATACTTAAATGTACAGAAATATACAGTTAACAGTTGGTTTAAATAATAATAATGGATTGCATTTATATAGCGCTTTTTGAGACCCTGAAAGCGCTTTACAATTCCACTATTCATTCACTCTCACATTCACGCACTGGTGGAGGCAAGCTACAGTTGTAGCCACAGCTGCCCTGGGGCAGACTGACAGATTCTATGTTAATTTACATTTTAAATTAAAAATCACAGTCTATTTATGTAAATTTAATGATATTCTAGAAAAACAGTACAAAACTGTAAAATACACAGTAAAATATTTTATATTGCTTTTTTTTTACAGTGTAGTTTTTAAATGAGGTTGAAACTAGATGAACTGTGAAGCAAGACTACTTGCTGAACTGAGGCTGCTGGCTGAAAATGTTAAATTCAAGCAAACACAAGAGTATAAAGAACCTCTCTGCAGCATCCTGGCTTTGCAAACAGGAAATTCTGGAATGGAAAAATCCTATTTATTTATATAGCATCTTTTCCCCTTAATCATTATTTTGTGTGTGTGTCTGTGTAGCTGGCGTGTTGTACCGACACCCCAGGGATTGCTCCCAGGCCCTACTGAATGGAGACACCTCATCAGGCATGCACACCATCTACCTGGGTGGAGATGAGAACCAACCCCTGCAAGTCTACTGTGACATGAGCACTGATGGAGGCGGATGGATCGTAAGTCACGGGCTGACATACTTGTTGATAATGTGCAACCACTCTTTCGTTTTCAAGATCTGGCACATATTTGATCATCATTAATCATCATTCCATACTTTGTATTCAGAAATTTTCAGTTCAAATCAATTCCATTTTATTGGTATTGTGCCAAATCACAACAACAGTCATCTTGATGTGTTTTATATTATAAGGTAAAGTCCCTACAATGTTACAGAGAAAATCCCAACAGTCAGATGACTCCCTATGAGCAAGCATTTGGCAAAAGTGGGAAGGAAAAACTTGGTTTTAACAGGAGAAAACCTCCATAGAGGTTGGAAAAACAGTTTCATGGCCAACTGAGACCTGCTCCCTCAATATTCCACGACAGATTAGCAGATAATAGACCTGGAGTTTATTCCAAGTGCTGAACTTGCATTTGGTAGCTGTTCACTGGAATGCTCAAAGACTGACAAGTGTCAGTGCAAGTGAACAAGGCCAGCGCTATGCTGAAAAAACAAAATAAACCTATCTGAGAGACAGCAGAATGTAGGAATGGCCAAATCAAAAATGTGTTACATTTTTAACCTGTTAGCAGTCGGACGTACCGCCCACGGTACATTGGATGGTTTAGGGGACTAATTGTAAATTTGTAGGACTGCTAAGGGGTTAAAAGAAGTACTGCACCGGCCAGCTCAGCAGCACTAAAAGACCCGAAAGACCACAGAAAACAACTAAGTGCAGACCTCTTTCTTTGGCTGACAAAAAACTGTTATGTCTGAGTATAAAAATATCATGAAGGTGAGCTAAGACCAAGCACATAAACAAACAGAACTATCCACAAAACAAGCTTAGATGACCTGCCCAAGAGAAGCACACCAAAATACAAAAAGTACTTATCTCAATGGACTAATAAAACCAGGAGAAAATGGGTACAAAAACAAATGGCAGCTCACCTTACAAAACAGACTTTTTTTAGTTCAATGTGACGTGTTATAGCAGTCATGAGGGAAAACCGTTTACCTCTAGACTTTCATAGATTAAGACGTCTTTTTGCAACCACAGCTATGGTCATCTGGTTGCCTTCAAATAGAAAGCAGGTCCAACACTGCACTCTCTTTATCCAGCTCGAGAACTGCTTTCAAGTTTTATACTGTCCATTTGCTTTCCTTAACAAGATTTTTATTAAATCTATTCTTTGTTTTTCTCTCTCTTTGCAGGTTTTCCTCCGACGTCAAAGTGGCAAACTAGAGTTCTTCCGCAACTGGAAGAATTACACAGGCGGCTTTGGAGACATGAATGATGAATTTTGGCTGGGTAATTTTTTAACAAAGAACCACAGAGTTTTCCATAATACACAGGACGTGGTCATATATCAGGGTCCAAAATAGCTACACACATAAGTTAAACATAATTTACAAAAATGCGGTTCAAACATACAAAAATCCAAAAAGTTTAACTTCCAGAAAGTCTTCCATTTCCAGAAATTTCCACAGCACAGAGTAATAGGACCACACTAAGAAAGTAACTCAGGTCCCAACAGCAAGATCTGACAAAGGTAGAGAAACGGTTCTAAATACACAGAAGGAAAGCTGGCAAAAAGGAAACAGGTGAGGGAGGATGGAACACATGAGGAAGCAATTAAAGGAAAGTAAAAATAATCAGGGAGGAGGAGGCAATCACAAAGGCTGGAAAGGGCAGAAAGTAAAAAAGGGAAAACTAGCATTCAAAGTAAAACAGGAAATGAGCAAACGTTAATTAACAAGTTATAGTTTTAACTACATAGTTTTAAAACTAATTTTTGTTAAAACTATGTAGAGCCTACAATGTAATTTCTGCATGTGGCCAACCTTGTTGATGGCATACTTGTATGTGGTGGGCCAAAACACTACTTGGTTAGTTAGTTGTCAAACATAAGGCCCAATGGTCAGAACTGGCCTGGCAAAGACTCTAATCTGGCCCGCTCTGGCAGAAATTATGTAATTTTTGATTGTACTTTCATAGGTTTTACATCTTTTTTCTTCTGGTAAAGATCTCTGCCACATAGTAAACCAAAGTAATTCGATAATAAATGAACAAGTTACATGACAGAAAAGTTGCTGTTTTTTTACTTTATAATAAACATTTATGCGTAGTTAAACATCTTTACAGCTACAGAAAGGGGAGTTTGAGTTGTCCAGCCCTTAACATAAAATGAGCTTGGATTACAGAGTAGGCTACTGCATAAGGGATGGACATAGGCATAAATTTCATCTAAGAGCTCCATAGATAGTAGTCATTTAAATGCTAAACATTTGTAATGTGTAGAATGATACTTTTAGTTTGATAATAGGATCTTTTGTAAGCCATTGTTCAGCTGTCTCCTTTTTCACTCAGGTCTGTCCAACCTGCATAAGATCACAGCCAGCGGTCAGTACGAACTGCGAGTAGACCTGAGAGATAAGGGAGATACAGCCTATGCTCAGTATGACAAGTTCTCAGTCGGTGAACCCCGGACCCGCTACAAAGTCCATGTAGGAGGATACAGCGGTACAGCAGGTAAAGCTAGTATCTGTGCTCTACAGTTTATGCACAGTGATTTAAATGTCTCTTGATACTTTGTCTTTGACACCAGTACTGGCCTTGCAGCGGCGATGCAGGAGCCTGTGTGTGGTAGATGGGCTTCATTTGCCTTGTTTATATGCTGCCTTGCTTGTGCTTTTGTGTCACTCTGTTTTGCGATACACGAGTCAGGTCGGGACTCGTCGGTACAATGTGTAAAATCTCACCACTGGATGTCAGTAGATTGCAGATTGCAGTTTTCTTACCCTTCTTAATTCAAATGCATAATCCTAGTTATGGTGGCGACTTAGGAGAAACAACTCTGGCTGTGTTCATCTGTAGTGAGTGTAGACAATGCTGTGTCTCTCTGAATCAGGAAACTTAATCACAGCAAAAATGTAATGACTCTCTTGTTTGGCCTCTGTAGGCGACTCCATGACCTACCACCACGGCCGGCCGTTCTCCACCTACGACCATGACAACGACATTGCCGTCACCAACTGCGCTCTGTCCTATAAGGGAGCCTTCTGGTATAAAAACTGCCACCGGGTTAATCTGATGGGACGATATGGAGACAACAGTCACAGCAAGGTAATGAATAGTTCATTGCAGCACAACCTACAGTACAGTTGTTGCACATTTAATGGGTCACCAAAGGTTCTGACTGGGTCAAAAATAACTGCCTGAATATGTGCTCCAGGCATTTTACAGTAGACATTAGAAATCATGAATCTGATTTATGATTAATGACTCCACTAATCGTTTTTCATTATCTTGATTATTTTCGTGTTATTTTGATAAAAATAAATGTACTTCTAAATCTAAATTTAGAAGGAACAGTTGTAAATGACTAACTTTTCATTGGTAGTGTGCATAATATGAGTCTGGTAGAAACTGCCCTTCTGTTTCATTCTGTTTCACTCTGTTTTTGACTTGCACATCTTGCCTGCCGCCTCTCCAGGGCGTGAACTGGTTCCACTGGAAAGGCCATGAGCACTCAATTGAGTTCGCTGAGATGAAGATCCGGCCATCCAACTTCAGAAACCTGGAGGGAAGGAGGAAACGATCATAAATGATATGAAAAGCTCCGCCGCCACCAATACCACCTTCACCACCACCAACAACAAAAACAACAACTACTACTCTGGACTCCGCATGAACCAACTGGACTCCCAAACCCTCCCACCCTGCAGCAACCAAAGCCACTGCCAAGAGCCCTGCTGTTCTCACATGAAACAAATGCTCCTCGATGTTTTCTGTTCCCTCACAAATCTGCCTAAATCTGCCATATGACCCATCCCAGCCTTTCCCCCCTCTGATACGGCTACGCAAAAATGCTGCCAGTGCAGAAACTGACGTTACAAACTGGACTTGCATCAAACCCCACGAGGTTCACCAAAGAGAGTCTCTCCCTCTCACTCAATTCTGACCCCGATCTCTTGTGTTGCAGCATTTGTGGGAAAGCGTGAGCGCAGCTTGGACATTATGTTGTGAATAGTCATTAATACAGTTTCCTATTTCATATCCATGCCATGTCTGGCATTTGACAAAAAATTCTGACTGTTTAGTGCGATGCAATCTTGTTTAGGATCAGGGCCTCTTTGCGAAAAGTGTTAATGCAGCAGGATTATCAGAGAAAGTCTACTCCTTGTACAGCTCTGTACATGTCTCCATCTGATATGAACGTCTGAAAACGGATTCTTCAGATGTCACATATCTCCATCTAACTTGTCATTTGTTTGTCCATGTGCAACTAAACACATCTCAGTGTCACTTTATAATCCCCAGCCTCCCTTCACTCCCATCCCCCCAATAAAAAAATGTAAAAAAGGAAAAGAAAAACCTACGGAAACACATTTTACTCTCTACATCCCATGTCGTTGTGGACGGCGGTGTTTCTGTTGAGTCTTTGAAGGCATCATGCTGTGGCCACAGTATTGTGTTAGCAAAAAAAGAACAGAGAAGAAAAGAAAACGTGTTTTGTTTCTCTGATGAATCTGAGGCAGGACCTGTTATTCAGTATAAAATGACTTTGGTGATAACATTTTGTTTGTTCTTTGTTTTTGAAAAATGTGAATACGGTACATATATGTGGAACATGAGAATGTTATGTGATGCTCGAAACTTTAAAAAAGGCCAATTTTCAATTGAATTCCAGTTGTCATAGTAAGGTCTCTATGATTGTGTTAATGAAAATAGTGTTTGGACAGGCCAAAACTAGAGAACTAGTTACTGTTTTTACCCCTTTCACCTCCCCCAAACCCCGCCCCCTACCCTTTCCTGCTATTGCAGGATACTAAACCACTGACCTTCTAAAGAATGCCTGTGTAAATTAAGGTTGTTTTGATTGTTTTGTTTGTTTAAAACTGGGTGAACAGCAGGTGTTTCTCTGTAAACTGTATTACAATAAAACAGTTTGTTTAAAACGACAAGTTTCACAAGTTTTATTTTGACTATCCTGGGGTCTACTAGCTTTGTCAAAATGGATCTTTGGTGATTACGATTTTACAATGCTGC